TGAACTGAAACTGAATTGCAGCCATTGTCTTTTTCTAGAAAAACCTTCCCCACAAATCATACCTATTAAGTCTTTTTCTGTTAATTCATGAACTTTTAACTTTTAAGACTCAAACTAAGACTTGAAGACGAGCACACAGGTGTTATGTTATTGCTGCACATTGTAATCCCATTCCCATTGACTAAAAATTCAACCAATTCACCAGGAAAGTAGTCAGTAGATTTATTTTTAAATGACTACTGCTTAGTAAAGAGAGACACTTTAACATTTTGATGTGGGGTATAGAGGACGGAGTAAATGGCTCTAAAATTGATCAAACAAACAAATAAAGCTAAACCAGATTTTAAATATTGGATTTTCTTTATAAAGGGGCAAAATAACTCTATTCTGTGGAGAAAAGGAGCTATAAAAGAAATTAAAACTGACTTCTGAGCAAATTAAACTAAAAAAAACCCAAAACAAACTAGTGAAACTCACTGCTTTAGAACTGATTTGTTTTTAACGAGTCTTTTAAATGGAGGCTTAAGTACATCTCAGAACCCACATCCTTTGTGTTTGTCTTCATTTGTGCAAACATCTATAATAAACAATGGCTTATAAAGAACTGCAATAAATAAAACCGGTATCAGAAACATCTGACTTCTTTTTGCTTACGTCTTCACTCCAGCAACAATAACTGGCTTAATTTTGGCTGAAATAGGACAATTTAATGAGACTTTAGAGCATGCACATGAGTAGGTGCTCTGCAGAGCATCCCAGATTCACACTATATGTTCAAAAGACATCCTTTGTGATTTCTTGTTTTAATCAGCAGCGATGCAGAGCGTGATCAAGCCGAGGCATGATAAGACCCATGGGAGAGGAAAGAGGAGGCCGGTGGGGCCTGGACCACCTCCAGGCTGCTCAACCCCAGCATTAGTCTCCACGTGGCTGTGTCTTTTGTCTGCCAGTCAAAGGCCTGCTGAATGGGGGTCAATTGAAACCAATTCCCTCTGTCGGACACAATTAATGGGGTTGCCTGGGCTGGGGGCAGGGGGGCAGCGGCTGCAGGTCTGTGGTTACTGATCCCGGCGCACAAGCATGTCGGGAATTTGCCACCTGGAATTTGTCTCCTGACAATAACAACCCCACAGCCTTTCACATCCAGCTCCTTTTCAGCGAAAGTCCCAAACATTTTCCTGAGCCATCCGTCGCCTCTTAATGCAGGAAAGATGAGGACTGGATAATGGTTGTGCAAAGTGAAACCATCCACAATGAAGCAAAGGTAGAGAAGAACGGAAAGAGCATAATCATCCTGACTGTTCAATTTTGCTCCTGTAGGTACATCACAATATCACTAAAATATAGATTTATTTGACCTAAAAACCATAACTACGTTGATTGCACACAATTATATACTATAGTTGTTTAGTTCGGTTAATTGTGGTGACTATGGCTCATGCAAATGTAGAGGGGTGAAAAACAAGTTATTAGTAAATAAAAATGATAAGTAAGAAAATAGGCACCACAGCATAATTTTTGTTTTTGTATCTTTAATTTCTCATTGTAATAAGTTCTTTAGTGTTATTTTAGTTAGTCCTATGCAATTCCACACACAACCGCTAGGGGCGCTGCCGCGTTGGTGGCATAGATAAGACTGAACACACAAGAAGAATAAATCTTCAGGTTGAATGTGAAGGAAGCTCAACATGTGTCTCGTCTTTCTCATACCACAGCATTAAAGAACTATGGCCAACACAATCATGAGGAAAACTGGGCACTTGACACCGACACGCTTCACAAGAAAAATAACCACAAAGGGAAATTGATAAAGAAGCGGGCTGTTGACAAAGTCCTGTATCCAAGCACATCACTGGAATGTTGAGTGGAAGGAAAAAATTTGACAAAAAGGTACACAAACACATCACTGCCCACAGTCAACACAACAGACATTTTATGGTGCATTTTATGTCTATAAAGTGTGGAGACATGTAATCGAACTCTAATGCAGACCAAAAAAGCGGATTCTGGTCCGCCTAAAACCCTCGGTCTCTGTTCGGTTGAGGTGAACTCTGGCAAGGTTAGAATGCATATGTGAACACCAAGTGGACCGGAGACCGCTTCAAAAGCAGGAAGCGGACAATTTGCAAGGCATTCTGGGTAAATATAAACAAAACAATGCGAGAGTCTAGTGCTAGCGGGAAAAGTGGCTTGTAGTTTTTTTTTTTTTACCAAAGACAAAAGAGAAATCTTAACCTATAAAATCTCAAAGCACTCCATTTTTGTTCACATTTCGTAAAGAAGGAGGTTGTGTTTGGTGTCTTCTTCAGAGGTCTTTATGTTGCTTCCTTCTGTGGTTCTTGGTGCAGCGCCACCACAGGCGAGGTGAGGAATTGGTTTTCATAGAGTTTGGTTGGTTCGATCCCAAGCAGTGTGAAAGCAAAAGGCACCAGATGAAAATGTAACAAATGTACCTGATACTTGGTGCATTGATGCAGTAACTCATGCAAAATAAACACTGACCAAATATTTATTAATTTTATTCAACATTGCTAATTTTCTGTAAAAGAATTTGTGGTTTTATTACCATAAAACATCAATCATCAACAGTTATAAGATATAACTATTATAATTATGTTACTCTGTATATGAGCTTCACTTCTTGAATTGATTTACGGAAATACGTTCGCTTTTTGATTATTTTCCAACTGAGTAAGATGCAGCTATATTTTACTGCCTTTTAATGATTCCAGACTGAGATACAAAGACAATAAAGCAATAAAAAAAGAACTCCCCGACACTGAGAAAGAGAGGCCAACCTCCCCGTGTCTGAATCAATCTGCAGATAAGTATGGCGGATCGATCCACCAGCAGCCCATCTACAGCTAAGCACTTCAGTGGATGTGCACTAATTGTCCTGTTGACATTAATTGTCATTAAAGGGCTTAGAACGGCCTCCGAGCTGTGAGTTACATCCTGCGGAGAGGTTCCAGCCCATTTGTTTATCAGTGACATCACGGCTCTCTTGGCCGCTAACACTCGGGTTGCAGCTGGGATCAGACGGGCCGATCCCAGCGTGGGTTTATGAAGCTTCTGAACGGATGACATCATCAGCTGTTGTCCTCCAATCAACTGCCACAGTGTTTTAGCAGAGGGGGAAACTGACTGTCCAAAGGCACTTTACCTAAATCTTTTTTTCTCAGTGTTTCCTTGTTACAGTTCTTGTGTTTTGACTTTTTTAAAAATGAAATATTTCAGTAAAAGGAGGAGCTGGACAATACCAAACTGTATACAATAGTTCAATATTTAAGGATTTATATATTGCTTAGTTAAAAATAAGCAGCCTGACTTGTTAAATAACCTTTTTTAAAGCTTGTGTTGATTGTAATCAGTCATCAGTTGGGAGTTATTCCTCCTTTGGACTGCATTTATAGATTATCCCACTGTGAACAATCCACAGGAAATGGGGTTCGAGTTGTTCTGACCCAGCCATGTAGCTGTCACCATTTGGTCTTCATCAAACTTAATAAACGTTTTACTTCCTCAATTTTTCTTTTTCTAAGAGATCAACTTTGACGACACGATATTCACTCACTACCCAGAGTCTTCATCATCGGTGATGAAGACATCACTAATCTGAGGAGTACAGAAGGGCAAAATTTAAATTTGTATTGAAAGTTAAAAAAATGAGGAGGAAAGATTTCAGGATAATATAATCCTTTCTTTTCAGCTTATTTCACCCAGAACTAGAGATGTAAATCTTTCAGTATCTAACTCTGACTTTTAGGGTCTTGATTTGATTAAGAAATGATTTTTAATTCAGAAACAAATGTTTCTATTCACTCTAAAATATTTAGTTTGAATTACGTGACAAACATTTGTTTGTGCATAAAATCCTGTAGCTTAAATTACCAACACTAATTTAGTTTACCAGTCCGGCTTTTTCTAAAATGAAAAAACATCATTCAAAATATAATTTTACAAAAAATTAAGCAGACCAAAATCGATTCAGAATTGCGAGGACTAGGAATTGAGATTTTCCATACAGATTTTTCTTCTGCACCTCCATCCAGAAACCATAAAAATGGCTGCTTTTTGTAGATTTTAAAGCTTCGAACCCGACATCCTTTATCCGAGAGAGCCCTGATAAGATATCAGAATAATAATGTCAATGTGGCAACCTAAATGTGTGCCAGGTGACATGTAACTGCAGACTCCTGCTACTGAATAGCCTCAGTGTTTTTCCCATCTGCGGGAACAGAGAGCGTTCTTGTATTTATTATCTCCTAAGCAACACACGTTCATATGACCAGCAGGTCCATGTAATCCAATTACAACCCCAAAATCAAATATTCTGCACTAACTCCAAGGCGATGATGAATCAATGCCCCCTGATGGAGTGGAAAACACATGAACGAGGAACGCCTCGGCTCAGTCGGTCATCCCCTAGTGGGCGGATGACAAACTACAGAAAGCTTCCTCTTCTCTGCCTCAGAGTGAAGTGCTTCCTCAGTCATTTGATTCCTCCACTGAGGGAGCTTCCCGCTCCTCTGAATGGGGGTTCTAGTTGAAGCCCACACCTTGACCAGTAGTCCCGCTGATTCCAGGACCATTGTGGAGGAAAAGAGTGACTCTCCCACTCTGTTATCATCGGACATATCGCTGTCTGCGGTGGGCTTTTATGACTTGTCCCACCCCCGGCCATCTACTCATGGACAATGCAGACTAGCTGCACTGCTTCAGTTCTCAGTGGCCTCATTTGCAACAAGAGGAGAAGGGAGAGGAGGAGGAGTAAATGGCACCATAACATAACAATACACTTGGAGACTCAGTTGGCAAACACAGCTGGGGCTGCAACAGTGAGGCGTTTAATGACTCATAACTCTGAGCCGACCGCACACAACTAGAACCACTTTTACTATATTGCAGTTGCCCTCTAATACACGTTCTACATCAACATGAAGCTGGCAGCACTTGCTGTTGCCGTTAAAACACGCATGTATAACAAAAAGGACACTAACCTCGAATAATTCCCTGGTGTCCAACCTGAAGTTAAAGTCCCCGAAGAGGAAAAATGGCAGCTTCTCGTGCTGCTCGTCTGAGATCCTGCAAAACAATCCAGCAACAAATCAATCCAAAGAAATGATCTTAGAAAAAAACTGAACAGGCAAAGCAACTTCACAGCCATCAGTATTAATTGTTGGAGACTTTTAATTGGAGGGGGATTAGGATCATGAGGGTTACAGCACCACCTGGTGGACTCAACAACTCCCTTTAAGGGGGTTAGTGTTTTTTTACTTGTTTATTGTAAAGATGTCTTACAAGCTTTAAAAAGATTTGCTGCGTTGCATCTTATTGCAAAAATCACAGGACAATGATGCCAAGTGTCCTCCACTCATATTGGTGCACTGTAAAGCAGTAGCAGAAATAAAAAAACAAATAAATAAAATCTAAGTACAAAACTCAAAATTTGACTTTGAGAGATGTTATACAGTGAAGAACAAAATAATGTAGTTGTTTTTCCTTTTACAGAATCATAACTAAAATTAGATGTGTATTTTTTAGTTTTTTATTCTGTTCCCACTTGGTGAAACAAAGACACAATCAACGCTCTTTACACACAATAGAATCACCTTTAAATTAATCCAAAAAAGAAAATCGACAGAGCAAAACATCAAAAAATGTTTCATGTTGTTTCCATCTCTTTGTTAACAAGTAGAATAATAATCAGAGGAAACAGGAAACATTTACATGTAGCAATGTTTAATCTAAAAATAAGGAATTTTGCAGAAATAATAAAAGTAAAGTAACATTTTCAAACTTTACATATTTCATTATTCACTTTACATTAGATACACATTTTCTGGCATTATTCTCCCATTTCTCCCAAAAGCTATAAATTAACCATGGTCACCTCATTCCATTCGCAAAGCATTTTTAATGAACACTTTAGTTATTTTTTTGTTTTTATAAACAGATCTGAGAGTTGATTTCTACATCTCCATCATTCAACGTGGAAAAGACAAGAAAACATCTTCAGAAGTCAGGAAATGACAGGAAAATAGCTCATCACCTCAACTTGCCAACATCTACAGTTAGAAGAATTATTAACATTAACAAACTTCAGGGAGACCCAGACAGGAAAATGGGAAAAAAGGCAAAAAATGAGAGAGATGGAGCAGGAGGTAAAGAAACTCTCCAAAGCTCACTGCAGCAAAGGGCAACAGCCTGAGCGTCACCATAGCAACCAGCTGACTCTATCTAGAGGCAAATTAGCTGTTTATAAGTGACGTGATGGTGATTGCTAAACTCTTCAAAAAATGTGTGCTGATCAAGCAGATCAGGTAGATGTGGAGACTAAGAGTAACTGTAAAGCATGGTGGAGGACCAATGATGCTGTGGGGATCTTTATATTTCAAAACCTGCACAGCATTATGAACCATCTGAAATATGAGGACAAGTTTTACAAAAACCTAATGCCCTTTGTTAGAAAATGGTTTGTCACTGGGTTTTTTTGACATTGTGATGATCAGAGACATGAAGCTGAATTAGCAAAGAAATGGACAAAAAGACAGAAAATTAATATTCTCTAACCTCAGTCTTCACAGCCAATTCATCTCTGAATACTCTAACATTTTAAAATGTTTCCGAAAATATAATGTAATATTGACTAGAGAGGGATGAGCACGTTCTAACACCAAATAGGTCTTTAACTGTGGCATTACTAGAAATTATTTATAACTGAATATGACATTTTTCTGCACTTAAATAAATAAAATCAAAGTTGGAATTTTTCCACATTTTTTGATGTGGTAATGTGAGTTTATGCTACTGCGATAAAAAACAAAACATTTATTCCAATTCATTTTATGAATCACCGAGAGAGAAACCACATGTGATAATACCACTTTTTTTTTTTTGTCATTTTCTGCATTTTTAAAGCTCGTTTTTGTCTGAAGGAGAATCAAAACTTATTAATTATCCTATAAAACTCAAAATCTTGAGGAAAGAAACAAATTATTTGCCCATTAAGATTGAGATTAAACCCCATGTCTGTGTAATTTTATTCAGATAATCTAGTTCTGGAAAAGCTCAGGGGCCTTCATGTTCTGCAACAAGTTCCTTCATCCTCTGGGATTTGTCTGCGGTGCATTTCCCATCCATGCAAGGCGTCTGAGTGATCGGGCAGGACAGTTTATTAGCAGCTGACGCTAAATTAATAATCCTCCATAGTTGCTTTGAACGACAGAAAATTCACTTTGCTGAGCTGATCAAAGGGATGGCGAACTAACACGACTCGGTTCGGGTTGGCTCTAAAGCTCGGCAAAACAAAAACGCTGGGAATTTAGGTTTAAGGAATTATCTTCATATCAAGTTTCCCCTGCCTTTAACATCATTACATTGAGGATTCTGTTATATTATCATTTCTGTTTCAAGCCAAACACATAATATCACACTGTTGGAAGAACTTGGTGTTCCAATTAAATCACTTATATAAAATTTTAAAGAAGCAGATTTATTTTTAATATTTGAGTCATAAGGAAGTGCATAAATCTTCCTCCTCATCCATGCAACTTCATCAGAGTGCCAGCATCCCAGCGCTTTAAAAATACATAATAAAATTAAAAAATGCACCTAAGCGACATATAATGAACTCCTATGCCTCATCGCCTACTTAGAAGTGGCTCTTCTACTGAGCAGAGATTGGAAATTAAGGTGGATGTAGTGCTCGCTCTTGTTTAATTAATGAGTCAGGATGCTTGGCTCACTATCTCTGCTAATCGTGCGAATAAATCTCGCCGTTGACTTCCCAGGCGCAGATAACAATATATTTATGAGGCCGTAAAGAGAGGAGAAAGCCTTTCACTGTGGTGGGTCTCAGTCTGACCGGCTGTCGCAAAGTCCGGCGGCGAGGAGGTGCGAAAAGCTTTCACAGAAAAAAAAAAGAGAAAAAAACTCTTTCGGTTTGATTTTGCATTGGATTAAACAGAATCTGGTTCATTTTCTTTTTTATTTCCTTTAACCGGTTCAATAAAAACTGAGAAAACTTTAATAAATCAGTCCATTCTGGATGACTGTGGCTGATGTAACTTTGTTTTAAATACATTTTAATTTTGTTTATTCAGTTTAGGTTGTTGTAGATTTTATCTCCAATTATATAAAAACATAAAATCAATCAACAATATGACCGTTTAGATTCAGTTAAATAAAGTTTAGTGAATATCTTTATTAGTTAGTTTTAGATTTTTATCTAGTCACTTTTTTGTTTACTTAGTCATTATTTGTTTTAGCAATTTCCTAATTTACATATTCTTTCTTTAATTCTATTTATTTACTTTTCTATTCATTCAACCTTTTATTTATTCAAATGTTTTATTTATTTACATCACATTATGTAACATTTTCCTGATTTAATCATCTATTTATTTTTTCTTCAATAAATTCTGTGCATTTTAATAGCCAGCTTAATGGGTACAAATAAACAACTTTACAACACTTAACTCTGCAACACTAATAATTTCTTAAAACTAATTTAGTTTCATCTGCATAAGTATTTTAATGGGGGGGTCATTTTTTTATTTGAAGCAATATTTTAATATTTTTTACCAACTGATATTATATGATTGTTTTTGTTTCAAAAAATATTTTACTCAACTTTCAAAATCAGGATTATTTTGAATTCAGAAATAATCCCAAACATGCGTTTAAGTTAAAATGAAAATACTACATAGAACACAAATGTGATATTTATAGACCAAATATTTTAGTTATTATTTTACAGTCAACACCTTCATGATTCATCAGCCACTGGAGTCCAGAGAGTGAAGTAAAACATTTTCTGCAACCTCGACGTTAAAACCTACTGACGCTATTACCACAGTAATACTGAGTGTTTGTGTGTCCTGCAGCTCATTAATTAACTCGGACTGGTGTCATTTACGACACGACATGCTGGTGCTAAGAGACTGAGCTGTATAGAAACACTTTGTCCAGCCAAGCCAAGTAGAGGGCAGTAACACGGCTAATAAGACGTTCTTATAACCGTGGGAACTCAAACACGCCTCGGGTGAGAAGAGAGTTTCATCTGATCCTTTAAAAATAGAGCAAAAAGTCTGAATCTGTCTATTGAGACCAGGAGTGGAAAAGGAAAGACCGATAAGTAAACGGGTCAAGGAAGGAAACAGTCATAAGTGAATGTTTCTCCACAGCTTGCGGTCTTTCTCTCGCTAACAGGCATGTCTAATACCAGCAGGCTGGCTGTTTTGTCTGCGGCTGCGAGGTTTCAGCCACAGGTCAGAAGGTAACACTCTGTTTACACGATCATTTCCTAAAGCACTCATGGTGACCCGCCGCTATGAAAGTTGACTTTTTTCCTTGGCCATTGTGGAGGGTCGAAGAATTGCAACATTAGCTACAGCTACTAGGCATGAAAGGAGCCTGAGGGTGGGGGGTCCAGAGCTCAGGGGTGCCACCCCTTCAAACCCCCCTCCCAATTTGCTGACCCTCACCCTTGGTGGGGCCCCTCCATTAGCCTCGTCATCATAGTCCATTCAGGCAAACTGTACCAGTGTCAGTGACATTTCCCCACAAAGACACACTCCTTTGCTCAGTCTATAAACATGCTTTCTCCGGGCCAATTCATCGCACGGTGACACCCATGAAAGAGCCTCTTCACAGGGCCCCGTTCTCACTGGGGCCCGGGTTGGGGCCTTCCACAGGCCTTCCGAAGGGCCACACAAAGATAAGGGTCAGACGTTAATTTATTACATGGCCCAGAACCTTGCTCCCAGGCTCCTTTAACCACCACCACAAAAGCAACCAGTGCATCTTCTCTCTTTCTGATTCTAATTCTCTCTAACATGCAAACAAACTATCATTAAAATAAATAAACATGCATTTAAAACTGAGCATTTCAGAGTTTATTACCCTTGCTTATGACATATAAATCTCCTTGAACTCGCCAAGTCCCTGTTCTCAAACCCCAATCGCTCAGTGGCTGCTGCTCAGATTATATGCTGATGACTGACAGCTATACTGAGCAATAACAGGAGGTCTCTATGGGATTATGAGGGAGCAGCGTGGGGCCGTGTCACGATTACATTGAC